TACTGCGGGCCTCACCTGCCCTTCCTACGTGACAGGCCACCTGCCGCGTGCCAGTCAGCCGGGGGCATGGGCACGGGCAGCAGGATTCCATCCTGTTCCCAGGGGCGTCCAGGGGACACCAGGGCCCTGAGGCCGGTTCCCCACAGCCGGGCAGACCCTGCAGAGGCCTTCAGTGCAGACCGCTGTCCCCCTGACCTGGGGCCACAGAGCCAGAGGATGGGGCTGAGTGTCCCGGCCATGGAGGTCCGCCCTTGCCCGTACAGATGAAGAGCCGTCGCCTGGGCTTCCAACCTGCTGGTTGGTGCCCAGCCCCCGCTGGGCCCCTCTGGCAGTGTGGCCTCCAGTCTCCTTCCCACCTTCCCTCCTGCGGCGCCTCTGCATTGACCTGCCCACTGCCCTCTGCGGAAACCCAGCCCAAGTCGGGCCTCGGGACCGAGCCCTCCTCCCTGGGGGCCCACCGTCTGTGCAGCCCGCGGGCCCGTTCTTCCTGGCTGGCTATTTTAAATTTAATTTTCCTGTTCAGTCTCCCCACGGACTATGAGTTTCCATGAGGACAAGGACATTGACGTGTTTATTTCTGTGTCTCTTGGGCTTCCTAGGAACTTGGTAAATATTTATCGATCAGCTCATTGTGTGTTTTGGCTCTTCTGTGATAGGAATGCAGCCTGTTGATGTGGTTGGCTCGGTGGCCGGCTCGGTGGCCAGCTCGCTGCGGGGTGGCCCTCTTGGGAAAGAGTATAGTGATGGGGACGGTCGTGGCGGGGGGGGGCGGCGCTCGCTTTTCCCCCTAAATGCTTCTGTGTTCTTTGAGCTTCCAAGAAGCACGTATTCGCGTATGATTTTTGTAATAAAGCCACGAGTTTAGATTGTGCTGTTCAAATAAACATTGTCCCACTGAGGGGACAGATGGCCTTGTGGGTAAGACTCCCCATACTTCTCTCCAGTGCCCCAGACCCAAACCCTTTCCAAGGGGCTTCGCAGCCCTCCTCCCCATTTGGTCAGTGTGCCCACCTGTTTGGGAGTGTGTGGGGGCCTGACTGAGGGTCCTCTGTACCTGCCTGGAGTCACTTGCGGGGTTGTCCGTGGGCATCAGAATCCCTGGGCCGAGATGAGAAGGAACTCACGGCGCTTCAGCCCTTCGTTGTTCTCCGGGAATTGGAGCCGCCAACCACAGCGGCCCAGGCTCCCGCAGGAGACATGGAGCACACTCTGCCCCAGAACACAGCGCTTCTGTTTACCCTGCTCCGAATGGTGGAGTTTTAAACTCTCTTGTTTTCCTAAATACTCTATCTTCAAAGGAAAGATATTTTTTAGTTCAGAGTGCCTATTCCGAGTCTTTAATATTTCTCTGGGTCTGCACTCACGAGCAAGAATTTTTAAAACTTTGTCCTGTGGGTCAGGTCAGTGGCTGAAAAGAAGATTGCGAGCTGGTTCACGAGACCCAGACGGACCTCCCCAGGGCATCTTTGCTCTCACTGCATTCTGGGTGGTGGCCCAGTCTGCAGGCCGACCGGTGGGGGGACCTGCTGGGGTGGCATTCACTAGGGCAGGCGGCCCACCCTCACCAGCTCCGCCCCGCACACCTCAGCTCCACTGGCCCCGCGGGGTGACCCTGCAGCCTCCTCATGCCCCCGACCTGCTGTGGGCAGCAGACCCCCACTTCGCCCTGACCTGGCCCTAGCACCTGGGATTCTTGCCCCAGGGGCCCAGACCTAGCCCGGACCTCTGCTCTGGCTCTGGGCTGCTTCAAAGTGGCACCACGTGACCTGGAAGAGGAACAACTTCTGAAACTCAGAGCAAGCCGGGGCCTGTCATTCCCCTCACAGGCCCTCGGTTCCACTTCCTCAGTCATTCTAAGTGTGTCTTCTGGTCGCCTGCACCGTCCTTGCTGCAGAGCGTGGCCCTGGGCTGGGCACAATGTCACTTTCTAGTAGTGGGACTTTTTCTGGTGGGGAGCTGTGGCAACTGGGCTGGGAAATCGTGTGTCCCACACACTGCAGGCCCCCTGGTCCAGCCCACCAAATGCCAGCCATCATCATCTGTGGTCCTTATGGCCACGAGGAACTCATTCTCAGCCTGGGGGTCCGGGAGGGGCAGCACCATCTTCTCTGAGAGTGGGGTGCACAGCAGACCCCTTTCCATCACGAATCTGCACCCCCCAGCACAGTGAGGGTCAGACTCATGGCAGGGCATCAGTAAATACTTGCGGGATGAAGGAATACGTGAGATCCACGAACGAGCTTGAGAGGGCCTGTGAACCCCATAAAACTGTGTGCAAATGCGTGTGTGTTGTGTGCGTCATACGTGTGTTCTCTGGGGCCAGAGCAGAGGAGCCATCAGGTTCCCCGGGGAAATGGCGACCTTCAGGGATGCTCAGAGGACGGGGCCGCGCCCAGGGCTGCCCGCGCTGTGTCCCTGTGAACATTCGCACACAGTGCTCGGAGGTGGGTTCAGCCCCAGAGCCGCGCGGCCGGGCCGCTCCCCCAACCCCCAACCCCACCCCCGCAGGAAGGCAGGCCCTGGAAGTCCCAGAAGTTCCCACAAGTCCCCGGAGCGACAAGCCTGGCCCTCGTCCTTGCGCATGGGCTCCCACGCCGGAAAGTTCGGTATGAAGGCAGGCACGAGACATGTTCCTCGTGCCAAAAGAACATCTCCTGAGTGGGTGGCCTTCCCAGAGAGAGCAAAGACGCCGGTCACAGTGCTCTGCTTCTCATCGACCCCACGCGCGGGCGCAGAGGCGGCTGGGCGGACCGAGCGAGCAGTCCTGACTGGCTTCCTTCCTGCGAGCTCACGGCTGATGCAGTTGTTTTAACACAGTGCACCCCACGCCCCGAGGCAGGCGGAACAGCTGGGCCAAGTTGGTGGAGAAGAGAAGGCCCACGTCCCGGGCCCACCCGCAGACAGGCCGGGACGTTCGCACTCAGCTCGTGGCCTTGCCTTTGAATGAGGCCTCGGGTGGGCAGGCGTGGAAGGCGTTAACAGAATGGTGTGTCGTCTTTGCCGGTTTTCCGGCACCATCTGCTCCTCCGGGATTGCCCTGCCGCGGGATAGAAGCCACAGCACTCCAGAAAGGGCATTTGGCCAGGGGAGCGGCCCAGCTCAGAGTCGTCTCCGGCACAGGGAAGCATCTGCCAAGAGTTCTGGGACCTCATTCACGCCAGAGGGACCATTCCGTTTGCAGGAGGTTCCAGCATACAGACCACGTACCTCCCACACTGGCCCGATACCTCCCTCGTGGGGAGATGGAAACTCGGAGGGCCCCCCAATAGCAGTGTGCCTACAATAGTCATGTGGAGAACTTGGTAAATCACAGATTTCAGGACCTAAGTCTTGACAGACTGTTCATCGGGGGCTGGAGAATTTGCATTTCTAACACGCTCCCAGGTCTCGCTGAGGCTGCTGGTCCCCGACACACACTTTTAGAAACCCTGATTCCGGCCAGGGTTTGCACGCTGTGCTCCATCGCGCCCCCTTGTGGGGAGAAGGGACGAGAACAACCAGTGAATGGGACTCAGCGTGCCTGTCCCCACGACCCTGCAGAACACCTCCGGGTCTCTTTAAGAAATCTGATTTCTGGGATTAAATGAAGAGCCCTCGATGGAAAAGAGGGGTGACCACCCGGCTGGAAAAGGTGCACCCGAGAGCCAAGCCTTCCATTCTCATCCCAATGCGCGCCTCATGGGACAGCCTCGGCCAATAGCCCAAACCTCCAGTAACTGGCTGAGTGAGCAGGGGCAGGTGCCCCTCACCCCACCTCAAGGGGCGGAGCCACGGCCGTGGGTGTCCTGCTTGCAGCTGCCCGCAGGCTCACTGCCCAGCTCCCACAGGCCTGGTCCCGGAGAGCTTACACCGCACTGACGGCCTCAGCGCGGGACAGGCTCTCCCGTGTGCACCTGACCCAGCACCAGTGCTGGGGGTAGAGCCCGGTGTCCAGAGTCCACCTGTCCCCAGCCATCGGCTCCTGGCTTCTCCACCCCGCAGCTGAGAGATCGAGTGTGAACCAGCCTCCTGAAGCCTCAGTTTCCTCGCCCGCAGTGGAGAGAATTGTAGCTTCCACGTGAGCACCACGCACGGCCGTCAAGGCAGAGCTCCCAGTGCCGGGCCCGCCACGCGTGAGCCCTCGGGAAACGCAGGCCGCCTGTCACCGAGTCTCCTCTCTCCGCGCGCTGCCAGTGGTCTCGATGAGGCCGCCTGCACCAGTCAGTCGCAGCTGCTGTGACGAACTGCCCCGGGCAGGGTGGCCCAGGACAACAGAAGTCGAATTTGTCACAGTTCTGGAGGTGAGACGTCCACAGTCGAGGTGTTAGCAGGGTCGTGTCCCTCTGGAGGCTGCAGGGAAGAGCTGGTCCCGGGCCTTTCTCTCAGCTCCTGCGGCTGCCGGCGCCCCTCGGCGCCCCTCGGCGTGCCTGTCTCGTAGATGAAGACCGCGCGTCTCTGCCTGCACCGCTGCGTGGCGTTCTGTCTGTCTGTCTCTGTCTCATCTTCTTGTCTAAACTAATCTTTAAATCTTTAAAAAAAATTTAGTAATATTTAGAGAGAGAGGAAGGGGGAGAGAAAGAGAGAGAGAAAGTAACATGGATCTGTTGTTCCACTTATTTATGCAATCACTGGTTGATTCCTGTATGTGCCCTGACCGGGGATTGAACCTGCAACCTTGGTGTATTGGGATCATGCTCTAACCAACTGAGCTACGTGGCCAGGGATTGTCTGGTTTTCTTATAAGGACACATGTGGCAATGGACTAGGGCCCACAGTAATTGAGTATTGACTTCATCTTAATTTGACGGCATCTGCAGAGACCCTATTTCCAAATAAGGTCACACACGCTAGGGGTTAGGTCTGGAAGCCACTTGAGGGAGGGGTGGACACAAGTCGACCCCCAGCACTGCCGAGAGAGACTGCAGGGCCCAGCCGCCCTGAGGCGCCAGGGACCCCTGCTGCAAGGCTGGGTGGGTGCCACGGGACTGACCGAATCATCTGTCTGCGTGGCTGTTTTCCAGGGTGTTCAGACCTGCATCTCCTGGACATGCTGACCCCGACCGAAAGGAAGCGACAGGGGTACATCCACGAGCTCATCGTCACGGAGGAGAACTACGTGAACGACCTGCAGCTGGTCACCGAGGTAACGGCAGCCTGGGGTGCCGGGGGTGGTGGCCCTGGTTGAGGGTGGGGACCGGAGGGGAGGCCTGGGCCCCGGGTCCCAGCCTGAGAGGCTTTCGGATGTTTGGGGCGCGTCTGGGCAGTAAAGGGCACAGAAGAGCCTTCGAGAGAGAAGGCGGCGGCCCTCTCGGCTGTGGCCAACTCGGAGTCCTTCCCGGGAGGGGCTGACATTGCTCGGGTCAGGGGCCAGGGGCGTCCGTGCAGAGCTGCCCAGGCAGAGATGCGTGTGACTTGGAGTCTTGGCCGAGCCACCGACTCACCGATGCCCCAGAGAGAGACGTTTCCTGCAGGCCCTTGGGCTGGTGGCATCTGAAAACGGCCGCTGTCTCGAGTCATTGCTGGCGCCGCGTCTTCCGCCGCGGATGTCCGCCTCCGCGCACCCCTGTCCCAGACGAGTCCTCGTGCTGCCTCCTCCCGGGCAGCCCTGGAAGGGCCGCCCTGGCCGCTCCGTGCTGAAGGGTGGGAAGGCGTGTGCAGGGACCCCGTCCAAGGGGCCGCCTGTCTGCACACCCGGGTTTGCGGGGCTGGACGCAGGGCCTCTCTGTCCCCCGAGGAGAACTGGGATGGTTAGAACTCCTGTTCCCCACCCCAGCCAAGTGCCCCCAATAGCTGAGGGTCCATCTTCTCTCATCTGAATGACCAGGGCAGGTGGGACTCGGCGCCCCAGTGTCGAAGGAGGACAGCGTGCAAGATGGGTCGTTGGCCCTCGGGCCCTCAGGGGGTATAGAAAGCATCAGTGCAAATTAAAAAGGGGTGCTCCTTTCTCAAGAGACTCGACTGCCACTAAATACCCCATCCAGGATGGGCACGTCACCCCTTAGATGGCATCTGTGCACAGCGGTCTGGTTTAACGCAGGCGCAGTCTGGGCTCAAGAACTCTGAGACACAGGCCCCCGGGGACTGCATCAGGGCAGCTGTTTACTTAAAGCCACCCTGTCCCCACCCCCAAAGAACCTTCTGGAGAGTGGCCAGCCTCCTTCGCTAGAGGACAACCTGTTGGCAGGGGGGGCTCACTCCGGGGGGGTCAGCTGGGAGCTGTGGGGGCCGCACCCCAAACAACCATCAGAGCACGGGTGGCCCATGCACATCCTTGAGCCCAGGGGAGCGGCCGACGCCCTGCATGTGTGCGCGGGCCTGGCCCAGGCTGAGGCCACCGCAGTGCAGTCTGTCCCCGAGGCCATGTGTCGAGGTCACCCCTGGCTGCCAGGGCCTGCTCCCCTCAGAATGCCCCGGGCACTGGGGGGGGAGCCGCCCACAGCCATGTGCCTTTGTCAGCTCCGCCGTGCCCACGTCCCCGTGGCGGGCAGGTAAGGTGGTGGGAGCTAGGACAGGCCTCCTGGCTTTGTCCCGCTGGAGCGAAGGACAGTCGTCCCCACTTCAGTGGCCTCCCTTGCAAGACAGCGAAAACCTGTCTGCCACCGCCCCAGGCAGATGAGGGGCCCTCTGCTTCAGGAAGTGCCGGAAGGTGGGCGTCGGCTCCTGGGCCCCCAGCAGAGCCGCGGCGCAGCCTCCCCGCGTGCGTGCGTGTGTGAGGGGCGAGCTAACTGTTTGCTTTCTGAACTGCCTCGTTTTCTGCACCTGTAGATCTTTCAGAAACCCCTGATGGAGTCTGAGCTGCTGACAGAGAAAGAGGGTGCTATGATTTTTGTTAACTGGAAGGAGCTGATTATGTGTAATATCAAGCTGCTGAAGTAAGCCTCCCTCTAACCCCGCCTCGCTTCGCCTCCCGACGTCACACCGCGTCCCGCCACGCGTGTCCCCGCCATGCATGTGTTCCGTGTGCCTCTGCCTGTCTGCTCATCTCCACTCACGAGCACTGCCCCCTTCTTGGCTCTGAAGCTTTCCACACGCACCCCAGGTTCCCCGAGCGTCCAGGTCCCGCTCTCCTGTGGCTCTAGAATTTCCAGAGCAAGGCCAGCCCCACCCTGGTCAGTGGCTGGCTCCATCCTGGGCGTGGGGCAGCCCCCGCACCGTGCCTCTGACCCAGGTTCCGCGGGCGAGTGCAGGTTTCTGCAGATGCTCTTGGTGCCGCGGGTAAAAGATGGCGGCACCGCGCACTGGCCACATCGGGGTCACTGTCCGAGAAGCTGGCCTGAGCGCACCGGACATCTTATTCCCAGTTGAGTCTTGGAGGCAGCAGGGGGCACGGGGTTCGGGGAGCTGTGGTGGGAGCCCGACTCGGTGCCACGGGCTGTGTCATCGCAAAGGTCCCTTGCAGGCCCTGCCGTGACAGCGTCGGTGAGGACACAGGGGAGTCCAGGGGGTGCGGCCAGGCCGGCAGAAGGGCCTCCCTCTGGGGTCTGGGGTGAAGCACCCGTCAGGTGGCTGCCCGGGCTTTTCCTTCCAAGTTCAGGTGCCCGCGCCCTTGAGGAGGGTGTGTCTGGGCTAGGGGGGATGGGAGGGGAGGCTCAGAGACCTGGCGTGAGTGAGGGGGACGGCCACCTTCAACCTGCGTGCGGGTGTGCTGTGAGAGTGTTTAAAATGTGTCGGCCTGGCCAATCGGTCAGCAGCGCTGGCCTCTTTTCCCTTGGGCCGACTCGGACTCACAGCCGCATGCCCACCCCTCCCACCGCCTCCCCGCTGTGTGTTTTTGCCCTCAGGGGCCTCATCTGTCACAAAGGGACCGAAATGCTGCCTCCCACTCGGGGTTCTCATTAGGGCACCTGGCCCACAGTGAGCACTGGGCTTCAGCCCGGGGACCCTGGTGGCACCGCCCGGGCACCCCACCTCGCCTTGGAGAGGGCTGCCTTGTCACCTGGGGGCAGGGGGTAACTTCACCCCTGAATCTAAGGCATCGGAGATGGCTTCTTTCAAAACAGACACAAAAGTTTTCTTTAGAAAATATAATATAGGTTAAAACACCCTTTTCCCCTGGGGCAGCTCTCAGCGGGGGGCGGGGGGGTGTATGTCCCCGGGGTCCCCCCCCGGGTTGGCCTGGAGAAGACTGTGGGGCTGGTGCCGCTCCCCTGCCCGCCTCTGGGCTCCCCTGCAGCCTGCTCCTGCCCTGGGAGCAGAGCCCCTCCCCCAGCTCTGGGCCGGGCGGAGGGCGGAGCGGAGCGCACTGTGGTGGCTGGGGAGGCGGCCTGCACGGAGGGCAGGGTGTGCCCGGGCTGCTTGGTGGGGGCGCCCAAGGTACCTCCCCTGCCCCCTGGCCTGCCCTCGTGGAGGGAACGTAGGACAAGGAGGCAGCCACCCCCAAACTTTTGTTCTTTACTAAGCTGAGCAGGGCAGAAAGATCTAGAACCTTTTCATGTTAAGACACAGGTGCGAGCCCCTGGGGCACTTAGCAGAAGTGAAGTGGGGCCCGCAGACTCGGGTGCTGGAAACTGGGCTTGTTAAGACCCTTCCTGTCTCCTGGCTTGGGAAAAAGGAAGAAATGAAATGAAGAGCTTCTTAAAAAACGTGTTTTTCTTAAGTAGAAAGTGTTTGTCTTACCTTCTTATTAAGTTAAGAAAAAGGGACACAATTTTATTGTGCGCAGAAAAAAGAAAAACGAAGCACCTGTCTTGGGCGTCACGTCAAGGTGGAGAGAAGGGCAGGAAGCAGGGGGGCCGGAGGGGCAGGGGCAGCAGGGGCTGGGTGTCGGTGGAAATGGCTGGAGAGCGCTCTGGGCCGCGGGACGGAGCTGCTGGGCGAGCACAGGGCAGGAGCGCTGAGCAGGGGCCTGGGGTCCGGGCCGGCTGCCCTGTGCCTGGGGCTTACAGACCTGGGGCTCCAGGGTCAGGTCACCTGGGTTCAAGGCCTGCCTCTGCTACCTACTAGCTGTGTGACTTTGGTTGAGTTGTGCCCTCTGCATGGCACAGTGTCCCCAACAGTGTACAGGGGAGACGAGTCAGGCACGTTAGAAAGTGTTGGCACACAGGACATGTTAGTCCGTGCCAGCTCCTCTGACCTGGCCTGCAGGCTAGGAACGCTTGTCTGTGCCGCAGACCCTGGGCTCCGAACGGTGCTCCGGCTCATGGTGCCCCTCGGCAGTGTGGGGCCTCCCCCCCCCCAGCACCGGCACCTGGGGCCATAAACCAGCTCAGCCAAGGGTGCAGCTTCTGCCGCAGCAGCTGGGTCATGTGACCCCTGGGCATGGGCTCCCCCTGTCCAAGCCCGGGCCTCAGTCTTGCCTGTGCAGAGCACCCCAAAGGGGACCCCAGTGGACTGGACAGGCGCCTGGTCACGGAGGGGCCTTGCTTTAGGTCTGCTCCTGGCTGGGACAGCTTGTGTCCGACAGCCTGCTTGTGCCTCTTGTCTTCTCCCTTTTCCTCACCACCCCACTGTGGAGAAGAGGGAGGTGATGGCATTGCTCCCAGTTTCCAGCCACAGCAAGTGTGTGACATGGGGATGCAGGGCCCTGTCCCCCAGAGGGTGGCCTTCCACACCAGCCCCCCGGGTGGCCGGCGCTGACCTCTGCTCATTGTTCAGACCGAGAAACTCATGGTCCCCGAAGCTTCTGTCCTTGGATTGCTTGCCGCCCAGTCCAAGGGATTTTTTTTTTCTTTAACTAAAAATGTAGACGAGAGAAAATAAAGTGTCTGAAGTTTTTAGGCCTAATTCGAATAGAGCAGAGTCTCCTCTGAACGGTGTAGCCTCACCGTGGCCAAGAAGGCGACCGGAGTCTCGGCGACATCTCCCCTCCCCTCTGTTAAAACCATTCAGCCCAACCTTCTGTTCCATCCATTTGTCTATCAGTCTGTCCGTCCGTCCGTCCACCCACCACCCGCCATGCTCACTAGCGTGGGCAGAACACACCCCCCGCCTCGTCTGTGCACCACCCCCCACAGTGTGCTGCTGGCCCCGCCACACAGAAGCGCAGAGCCCTCCCCGGGGCCCCGCGCTGGGGGCACGTGTTAGCGTCCGGTGGGCGGGCTGCACGGTCCCCAGACACTCCGACTGCAGCCGGACCCCAGAACAGATGCCTCCCGGCCCCTCCAGTCCCTTCTTGGCCTCCAGGATGCAAATCAGTTGGGCTCATTGATTGGTCTGTCATCAGGTTCGTAGGCCTCTCTCTTCCGAACCCCTCGTCACTGGGTCACCTGTGGACGAGCGTGGCAGCGAAGCAGTGAACGGGGCAGGTGGTCCAGACCACCACCTGCACTTGGCTTTGGTGACCACAGTAGGTTGTTCCTCTGTGGTAGCTGATTTGCCGCCTTAGCTACATTTTGTCTGGCCTGAAAGTGGGCTTCCACGTCCCCATTTGCCCATGGGCGGCACTGGCCTGCACGCAACCTGGGCCTGGGGGCCACGTTGGCAGTCTGTCACCACAGACGACCCGTAAAGTGACACATTCACACAGGGACCCTGTCCAACTCACTGAAGAAAGGGCTCCAGTTCGGCCCCGAGAGCCAGCAAGCAGCCGCCATGCGCCGGACTGTCGCCCGCTGACCCCTCCGCGCAGCAGGACCCAGCCCCCGTCCTGTGTCCCGCCCAGGTCCACTTGTGGCCTCTGAGTCGGCGCCCCTCACACACACCCTGCCCCTGGCCAGCCCCGAAGTGTGGGGGTGGCCTCACCAGCCCTGTTTCCGTGCAGAGCGCTGCGAGTTCGCAAGAAGATGTCCGGGGAGAAGATGCCGGTGAAGATGATCGGGGACATCCTGACGGCCCAGCTGCCCCACATGCAGCCCTACATCCGCTTCTGCAGCTGCCAGCTCAACGGGGCCGCCCTCATCCAGCAGAAGACGGACGAGGCCCCCGACTTCAAGGACTTCGTCAAAGTGAGGAGCCTGCGGGCCCTGCCCGAGGGGCTGTCCCCGGCAGCTGGGTGTGTCGGGATCACTCAGTGTCTGCCGGCTCGTGTCTCTGAAGGCCACAGGGACCGAGGTCCTGGCTGAGCAGCAGGGGCAGCACTAGCTGGCCGATAAGGTTATAACCAAAGTGGGGGCCTGGGGGGCTTGGAGAGGAGGGCCCAGCCCTGCCTGAGGCCTGGGAGCAGGTATTGGTGGTGGTGTCTGAATGCAGGTTTAAGTTTTCCGTCTCATGTATCTGCCCCGGAGGACTGGCCGGTCTCAGGTGCCCTGTTCTGATCAATGGAGCGCCCTCCGCTTGCCGGGCCTGCCCTGCCCCCACAGAGGGAGGGCCCAGCAGCCCCCACGGAGCCTTCCTCCCTTTTCTCACGGGGTCTTCTTGGTGGACTCACACTGCAGGCAGCCTTGGGGGTGGGTGAGTGTGATATGCCAGGCCCTCGGCTTCCGGGGATGACAGGGACCCGGAGACCCAGGCACCCACGAGGGGGACGTTGGGGCACAGCTGCTAGAGCCCCGGGGCCGGGTCTGCTGTTCTGGGACTTGGCCTTGGCCCGGTGGGTCCCCCCTGGACGCATCAGCCCACACAGCCTCTCTCACAGGAAAAAAAGAAAATAACTTCGTGAAACAGGTGCAGTTTGATGAATAGACAGTGTTATAATAATGATGGTGACAGGCTTGTCTTTGGGCCCGATGAGTCTGGCGGGGCCACGCCCTCCTCCTCCGTGACACTGTCTGTAGCTGCTCACTTCAGACTCTTGGCCACAGCATCATATCTGTTCGCTTTGTCTCCCCCTGTGCCGTTCCTCAGCCTTGACACTGCCGTGTGCTAGCGGGCAAATGGGGCATTCGCAGGTCCTTTACTAAGGGCCGAGGTCGCGCCGGGCAGTCGGCCTGGCGGGGCCTGTGGGCAGGAGAGCAGAGGCTGGGCTGGAAGGTGCCCTGGGCCACCTGGGGTTTCCGCCAAGGGCACAGGCGGGATGAGTTCATCACCTCGTGCCCTTGCACTTCAGGGAAATGCCAACCCAGTCCGGGGAGCGGGCGTGTTGTCCCTTCTCGCCTCCCCGCTCCGTCCAGCCTCCAACCTCTCTCCCGCCTCAGCCCTGTGGGCGCTGGATGGGCCTTTGCCGCCTGTGGCTGGGGCGGGTTCAGGTGTGGCCGGTTCCCCACCCCTGGGGCCCAGCTCAGGGCGGAAAACTTGTGCCTTTGAGAGCTGAGTCACCATATAATCCCAGTGACTCATAGATAGGTCACCTTCTGGGGACAGAAGGACTCTTGTCCTCCAGATGAGTGGACAGAATTGGCAAAAGTGGTGGGAGAAAGAGGCAGGGCACCCTGGGCAGAGACATCGGCAGGCCCCCAAAGCTGCAGTCCTGACCCCTCTGCCCGAGCTCTGTCCCTGCCCGCCTGGGGCTCCCTGGGAGGGGGGGGGGCTCCACCCTCAACACCCTGCCCTCCCAGCACCTCCGGGACTGGAGGGGAACTTTTATTCTCCTGATGGTCCTTGCTCCTGGGGATGCTTCCTGCAGAAATCCGGGTAAACAGCCTCCAATCTCATCTCTGTAAGTTGGAGCCGTGTCTGCCCTGGAGGGACCTGCAGGGCAGGGATGACCCTGGGGGCCGAGTCACATGTGCAGGTCTCTGACCCTTGTCCACAAAGTGCCTCATCCGGGACCAGGGTCGGGCTCCTGGGTGGTCATCCGGGACCCTGAGGCGTCACCGCCGATGCCACCGTCAATGCCGCCGACGGACCGTGCCGATTGGTGCGGGACAGTCAGAGGGGTCTCTCGTTGCAGAGGCTGGCGATGGACCCTCGGTGCAAAGGCATGCCGCTGTCCAGTTTCATCCTGAAGCCCATGCAGCGGGTGACGAGGTACCCTCTGATCATTAAAAACGTAAGTACCGCCCGCCGTTCCCGGGCAGGGCTGCCTTCCGGGCGTTTCGGGGAGCGGGGGCCTCAGCGTGCCTGCCGGCTGCTGTGCGGAGACCTGGCGCCCACGGGGTGGGGGCGGCGCCTGCGTGGCAACTCAGCGAGAAAAGCCGTTTACTGGGAAAACAGCTAATAGCATGTGACCTTTCAAGGACATCCGGGTGGCTTCTGCCCCTAAGCTGGAAGGTGACCTTGGCTCAGGCCTCGATTCTTTCCCACCTGGAAAGACAGGCAAGAGGACAGGTGTCCTCTGAGCCCGGGATTACGGAACCAGGGGCGGCAGGCGGCGCGGGAGAGGAGGCTGGGTCTGGTTCCTCTTTGCAGGGAACCTGCGGCCGGTGCGACCGCTGTGCTCACCGCCCTGTGGGTCTGTCTCTCAGTGGCAGAGCCTGGGAAGACGTGCATTGTGTACATTCAAACACACACATTTGCAGTCGCGAGTGTGTGCACGTGTATGTATTTCCAGATCAATCTGTGTGTAGAACAGCTCCCACCCACGCCTGCTGTTCTAAGCCAACCCCGCAGCATCCATGGCAGGCGTCCCTCTTTCCGCACATTTGTGACTTCCTTCCCCACCACAGGCCTGGCTCCCACTTTTCTCCATCTGTTTACTGATTTCCTCGGTCCCCTGTATGTCCCGAATCCCCCTCCCCTGTAAGGGTCTCTCCAGTCCAACGCCAGCCGCACCCCACGAAGTGCCCTGTGGCCCCACCAGTGCAGCTGAGGAACTAGTTCTGGAAGAAGCTGGTAGTTTCCTCTCTCCAGCTCGACGGGCGCTATTGAAATCACGCAATACTCTTCTTTTCAAGATTTTATTTATTATTTTTAGAGAGAGGGGAAGGGAGAGAGAAAAAGAAGGGGAGAAACATCAATCTGTGATTGCCTCTCACACGCCCCCTACTGGGGACCTGGCCCACAACTCAGGCATGTGTCCCTACTGGGAATTGAACCGGTGACCCTTTGGTTTGCAGGCCTGCACTCAATCCACTGAGCCACATCAGCCAGGGCACACAGACATTTTTCTAAAAAATTTCTGTGTAGCAAAATTTAATGAACAGTGGAGAAAGACAAACGACAGCTCTAAACTGGGTGAACATATTTTAACTATATATACATATGCGCTGAGATGTACGCAAATCTGTCACCTCTCTGTCTACCTGTCTCACTCTTACAACTCGAAAAGAAAGGGACAAACACACTAATAGAAAGATAGGTACAATGTGCAACTAGACATTTCTGAGAGGCCACGTCCACTCTCCGTGAGAAACACACAGTTTGACTCTCATCTGGTTTGAATCTCATCACCACTGCTGTGTGCCCTTGGGTGAGTTCTTAACCTCTCTGGGCCTCAGTCTTATCTGTAGAACAGGGACACCAGCAGTCCCTCCCACACACCCTTGTGGGAATTAACTGAGCTAATATACGTAAAGGGCCTGGCTCATACTCAGCAGTCTATAAACGTTAGCTTTATCATTTACACCCTAAATCTACAAGAAGTTCAGATTCACTGGCAATAAAAGAAATGCATAGCAAAACAAGAAAATGCCTCGTCTGGGGCTTCCGACAGGCAGGCACGGGAAGGACTGGTGTGGCGAGGATGCGTGGGGGGGTGGCTGCTCCCCTCTGGACCAGCTGCTCAGCCTCCCTGGCCAGCACCTCCGCCGTGTCGGGAGCTTGTGTGGAAGACTCATCAGAGGGACAGCGAAGCGTCGGAAACCGCCTGGAGCTTTGTGGGACGCGACGTGTGTAAAGGCACCGTGGTGCCCCTCGCAGTGACCCGTCGCAGAGCCCGTAAAGACGAGGGACAGCAAATGACACGCCGCTTAGGGGGACAGTGTGACGGGACAGTCTGATCCCGTTTTGACTTTAAAAAATCGCGTTCACATGTACGTAAGCAGAGTATGTTAACAAATATGTGAACAGAGGTCCCCTCCATGTGCGGAGATTGTGGGTGATTTTTAGATTCTTCGTAACTTTCTGACTGTTGCACAATCTCATTTTACAATTAGAAAAACCAATCGGCCTATTTTCATTTTGAAACAAAACAAACGCATGTGTGTGAGCCAGTGGTGGGGTCCCAGTCTGGAGCAGCGGTCCCCACACTGGGAGATCCCTGCTCTGCAAGGTTCCTGTTCTAGAGTCCCGGCCCCAGGCCTTCCGATGTGGTCACCTGAGAGGCACCAAGCGTCGTCAAGGAGACCCTAGTGAGCGTCCTCCATTTGGGTGCCTACCTAGGACTTTAAACCAAAGTGCGGGTTTGAGATGAGGTTCCCTTCAGAGCGAGACAACGCTGGTGTTGTCTGTCCAGGTGGACTCGGATGCACTGCGGGTCACGCCCTCATTAAAAAATACTCGATTGCTAAAAAATGCTACGCCCACTTGAGCCTCTTGGGAAAAAGGCGCCGATAGACTCGCTCAACTGGGGTTCCCACAATCCTTCCCCTTATAAAAAACCACATTTACGAAACAGGGTAAAACAAGGCGTATTTGTAGGTGGACGCGGCCTGGGCGGGTCCAGCCTCATTGTGCTCTTGGTGCGTCTCGAGGGGGTGCAGCCTCCCCTTGCCCTTAGGGTCCCCCTCCATCTCTCCTGTGTCCGGGGCCCAGAGCCCCTGGAGCATCTGCGGGGAACTGCTGTCTTCACCGAGAGCGTCTGAAGCCCTGGGACATGCAGAGTGCATTCAGTCCCCCGACGACGACTTTCTCCAGGAGCGCCATCAGCGTCCCCAGGTTTCAGATGAGGACACAGAGGCTCAGCACATGTCTGTCCCTGGCCCAGGTCACGGCTGGTCACAGGCAGAACAGCGGGTTTCCTGCAGGAGGTCTAGGTTGGGGACCCATAACCGTGGCTGGAACAGCCCGTCCAGAAAAACACCCGTCTGCATTCTGGGCCTGAGCCGCACGGGCACCTGCCGCAGGGCACGGGCCCAGGATGGAGCTGTTCTCGGGGGAGAAATCCACTCGGGTGCAGACGGGATCTTTACCGCCCTGCTGCGGCCTCTGCCCGCCTCATGCTCCAAGTACAAATAATGTGGCAACCCGCCCCCCAAGGGGCCCCTGCCAGCGCTCCTTGTCAGGGTGCGCTGGGCCCTTGGGGCTCGGGGGCTCGAGCGTCTGCCGCCCAGGAGGCCTGTCCCCCCAGGACCGTGAACCCCGGCCCCCACTCCAGCTGTTGTCCTCCGGGTTCCCGTGCAGATCCTGGAGAACACTCCGGAGAACCACCCCGACCACAGCCACCTGAGGCAGGCCCTGGAGAAGGCGGAGGAGCTGTGCTCGCAGGTGAACGAGGGGGTGCGGGAGAAGGAGAACTCCGACCGGCTGGAGTGGATCCAGGCCCACGTGCAGTGCGAAGGCCTGTCGGAGGTGAGCCCCGGGGGGAGGGGCGGGGGGCCCTGGCTGCGGGTCAGACCCTGCGCCGACCGTCTCCCGCCCACAGCCCGCCAGTCTCTCCTCCGGCTGCTTCTGATTTGCCAGTTGACCCATCCGTGAGCTTTTAGATTCCAGGTCGTTTCTTCTCCATTTCCTGCAGTTCTTCTTTTCTGTGATGCGCTGGGTTCTTCCCAGTGTCTTACTCCTCGCACAGCTGGCCACCCTTCTCACTTATTTCCTCACACGTTTTCCACACAACCCGGTCTCTTTCAAATCTGACAATTCCTGTGCCTGGCTCCCATCTGCTGTTTCTTGCGGCCCCGCTGCTCGGACCCACGCCCCCGCATGCGCCGGCATTTCCGGTGGACCGCGAGCTCGTGGCCTTGGAACTGGAGCTCTGGGGTCTGGGGGGTCTGAAGTCGCACTCCTTCCTGGGGGGGGTGGCTGCCGGGGTCGCCCTAAATTAGCAGAGGGGGCTCTGGAGACCACACTGGTCATGTGAAGTGTGGCTTAAACCTGGGCGAGCGCTGCCCGCGGACACTTTTGCCCTCCCCTCACACCAAGGTCAGAAACAGTCCAGGTTTCTTGCTTGTTTTTTCTGTGTTTGAGTTTGTCCTTCTTCCTTGGGTCCAGCTTTCTGTGATTCCCTGTTAGATGCCCCTCGTCACACGGGCCCTGACACACCCCCATCTCCTGTGCCCCATGTAACCATTAAAGTGGAAGGTCAAGGTCATCAGACTCAGGAGCACCTCTCAGGGCCAAAGCCAGCTGAGTCTTGTTTATCATCGAAGGTTTGCATGTTCTTTTCTTTTTTTAACTTTTTGCTTATTGATTTTAGACAGAACGAGAGAGAAAGGGAGTGATGGAGAGGGAGAGAGAGAACAAAACACCAGTTTGTCACTGGTTGATTCTTGCCTGTGCCCTGACCGGGGATTGAACTCACAACCTTTGTGTATTGGGATGATGCTCCAACTGACTGAGCTACCCGGCCAGAACTGCATTTTCATTCTGTTTCTGGCCTCTGCAAATTTCTTATTTTTATCACCCTGCTTACATTTAAAAAGTGCCTTTTTATGCTTCACCCCGTTTTTAAATTCTGCACTGGGTGCATCAGAGTGTTCAGCCCCTGCACTCCCAGAACCGGAAACGTCTCCTCCAGTAGGTACCGTTCTTTGGGGCACGTGCCTTCCGTTTCATCCACAGACCCACAGACACGCACATGCCACTCCCCAGGGCTCGCCGCGGCGCCCAGGCAGACTGTGCCTCCCTCCCCCACTCTCCGGTGGCTTCCAAGGCGGTCACTGCCTGAGCAAGTGGCCACCTGCTCCTCCCCGCCCACCTCCTGTTCCCTGTGAGTGCAGGTGGAGGAGGTGAGTTGTGGGAGGGGTCCCGTGGGGAGTATGGGAGCTCCATGTTGGAATTCCACACAGTGCAACCCAGGGGCCCTCACTGGTTGGGTCCATCCACCCATCCACTCATTCATTCATTCATTCATTCAGCGAACATTTCCTGAGCACCTACCCACGGGCCGTTGCTCAACACGCTCCCCGTCTGCCTGGCAGAGCGGCCACCATAGCCACACGCACTTGGAGCTCCCCTCCCGAGCCTCACGGCTGTAGTCAGGGGTGGGAATCAGCGAGGGCAGCTCTTAAGCTTAAAACATTAAGAAGAGAACAAACTCATTTGACGTCACCCTTCCTTGGTCTTTCCCCGCTGTTGTCACAGCTGCCGTTGTGCCTGTACCCTGGTCTTGGTCACGTTGGCTTCTGTCTTCTGTCTTCTGTTCTGGACACGCAGACGTGATTACGTGTTGGTTTAATCCCGTCTTTGACGTTCCTGTCTGTCTCCAGTTCACATACGTTCCGACGTTCCGTGTCGGCCCGGCCACTTGCGGGCCCTGGCTTTTGAGGGTGGATAAGCGACGCCACCCGTACGTGCGCCAAGCTGGCTCTTCTTCACCGTCGTCCCCACACGCCCGGCCTCTCTGTCGGGAAGCAGAAAGGACTGGAGTGCCCCCCAGGCTCCCGTTCCTCAGGCAAAGGGCAGAGAACACCCTCTGAAGGCTTCAGTGGGGCGCCCCCGTCAGCCTTTTGGGCTCCCTCTGAGCCTCAGTGGGTGGGGGGGGCTCATTCCTCCCTGTGCCTGAGGGCGAGGTGGGGGGGCCGCTGTCCCTTGATGCTCTGGTTACAGAGGCCCCGCTGATTCTTTCTCCTGGTGGGAGGTGGACGGTGGCCCTGGCCGCCCTTGAGGGATGCGTGTTGCCAACCTCATAACCTCTGGACAAACACTGTCCTCAGGGAGAGCTGCAGGGTTCGCAGTTCTGAGAGAGCCTTGACCTTGACAGCTGCTGGATGGAGCACCACCCCGGGACCGGGATGCCGGCAGGAGGGGCCTGTGACACCCTCCTGGTCCCTGTCCCTGTCGGGGCACAGCTGTGGCCTTCCTCTCCCCCAGCTCTTCCCTGCTGTCAGGAAAGAGGGTCCTAGTGAGGTGGATCCGGCCTCGATCTTCCTCCGCCCCTTCAGAGCCTGCTCACTGGAGGTGACAGAGCCGGGGGGGATGGCAGACAGAGGGGACAGAGCCCAGGGGGATGGCACTCAGAGCCATCTCCGGGGTGTGGGAAGCAGCAGGGAGAGAGCCGCCCTCGTCAATCCCAGGACCAGCGGGCTGGGTGAGGCTGACCAGCTCCAGCACCGTGGACTCAGCTGGGCTGGGCGGCCCCACGCAGCACGGCCGAGCCCCGCCCTGCCTCGGGTCTTCCCTGGTCCCTTCTGCATCTACCGGTTTTCAGTTGCATCTACTGGGGTGACATTGTTGAGTAAGGTCACACAGGCTTCAAGCGTGCACTTCTGTGACACAGGATCTGTGCATTGCCTGTGTGCCCGCCTGCCAAAGTCACATCTTCTGCCACCACACACTTGGCCCCTCTGCCCTCGACTCTCCCCGCCCCTCCCTGGTCACCACCGCACATCCGCCCGTGTCTGCGTGAGACGCCGTTTGCTCGACCTGCATGTCCCTCTCGCCTGTTCATTGGCCACTTCCAGTTTTGTGTCCCACACGTGAGCGGGACCACACGGGTCTCAGCTTGGCTGTGTGACATCCTTCACTCCACGTGCCGTTCCTGGGGCCCTCGAGTGGGGCCTCCGCCACAGCCCTGCGGGCTCCCCGATGCTGGTGTGGCCCACCCTCCAGGCGCAGAAACCCCCCGAACACGACCTGGCCTGACTTCGTTGTCTCTTCCCTGGGTTTTGTGTCCTTTCTCAGCAACTCGTGTTCAATTCCGTGACCAACTGCTTGGGGCCACGCAAGTTCCTGCACAGTGGGAAGCTCTACAAGGCCAAGAGCAACAAGGAGCTGTACGGCTTCCTCTTCAACGACTTCCTCCTGCTGACCCAGATCTTGAAGCCCCTGGGCTCCTCTGGCGCCGACAAGGTCTTCAGCCCCAAGTCCAACCTGCAGTATAAAATGTACAAAACCGTAAGTTGGCTTCCGCGTGGCACCGGCAGGGCGGGTTGGGGGAGGACGTGGCCGGGAGCCAGCTTGCCGTCAGGTTTGGGAAGAGGCGCACAGAGGGGGAGGCCGTCAGTGGACGTACCGTCTACTAGCTGCCCAGTGGCTGCATGGGGCCTGGGCCTGGATGCAGGCCCACCCGGGTTCAGTGTGCAGACAAGCGGGCGTGGGAAAGGACGGGAGCAGGGCTCAGGTGCCCACCCCCTGGATATTCCCGGGTCCCCCCAGACTTCTCAGGGAAGCTTGGGCCATCTGCTCCCCACCCCTCAGCCAGTGCGCAGCCCCGGCAAGGAGTTCCCCCAAGCTCCCCCTCCCCGCAGAACTGTGCATGTCTTCTGGTCGTGGGAGATTGTTTTCTAAGTGTGTGTCCGTGGGGCTGCGCTCGCAGACGGGTGTTCTCTGAAGCGGCAGCCAGCCTCTTTTCAGAAGAGAGGGCCACGCACATACGCGGGTCGTCACCTTTGTGGGAAGACCTCTGGCAGGGGCGTTGCTTGCAGGTCCGGCTGGCGCCTGCCGTTTGCCAGCCAGGATGCTGCAGGGCAACAGGCCAGGTCTTGTTCCGAAGGACTTGAAAGGACCTGCAAACAGGGGTGTCCGTGTGTGCCATTGGCTGCCTATGAAAGTTGATATGAACACCAAGTCATTATTCTGGCGGAGTGTGCTAGAGCACACACACGCGCATGCGTGCACACAGACAGGTTCTAGTGTACTGGGACTCAGTCTGGTTCCCAGGCGCACACACTCAGAGTGTGTGGGCACACGCGGACACCCGCCGGTTTCATAATGCTCCCGCATTGCTTTTCAGCCAATTTTCCTAAATGAGGTTCTGGTAAAGTTACCCACCGACCCCTCCGGGGACGAACCCATCTTCCACATCTCCCACATTGACCGAGTCTACACCCTCCGAGCAGAAAGCATAAACGAGAGGTGAGACCTGCCGCCCCCGGCACTGGGTGCTGGGTCCCGCCCAGTGCAGGACCCTGTGGGATGGGTTTGTTTTTTTTTTTATATTGAAGCAATTTCTGGCATTTTATTGACATTTAAAATTACATGTATATGTAATTTTTAATATATTTTATTGATTATGCCATTACAGTTGTCCCATTCCCCCCTTCACTCCCTCTACCCTGCACACCCCTCCCACCCACATTCCCCCCTTTAGTTCATGTCCATGTGTCATAAGCTCTTTAGATTCTACATTTCCAACACTATTCTTGCCCTCCCCCTATTTTCTACCTCCCGTCTATGCTACTTAGTTTCTGTACCTTCTCCCCCCTCTCCTCCTCCCACTCCCCTGTTGCTAACCCTCCATGTGATCTCCATTTGTATGGTTCCGCTCCTGATCTAGCTGTCCTCTTAGTTTGCTTTTGTTTTAGGTGTGGTGGTTAATAACTGTGAATTTGCTGTCCTTTCACTGTTCATCTTTTTTATCTTCTTTTTCTTAGATAAGGCCCTTTAACATTTCATATAATAAGGGCTTGGTGATGATGAACTCCTTGAATTTGGTCTTATCTGAGAAGCACTTTATCTGCCCTTCCATTCTAAATGAAAGCTTTGCTGTATAGATCAATCTTGGATGTAGGTCTTTGAATTTCATGAGTTGGAATACCTCTTTCCAGCCCCTTCTTGCCTGTAAGGTCTCTTTTGAGAAATCAGCTGACAGTCTGATGGGAACTCCTTTGTAGGTGACTGTCCCTTATCTCTTGCTGCTTCTAGAATTCTCTCCTTCGTTTTAATCCTGGGTAATGTAATGATGATGTGCCTTGGTGTGTTTCTTCTTGGGTCCAACTTCTTTGGGATTCTCTGAGCTTCCTGGATTTCCTGGAAGTCTATTTCCTTTGCCAGATTGGGGAAGTTCTCCTTTATTATTTGTTCAAATAAGTTTTCCACTGGAGGCTATTCCTCTTCCCCCTCTGGTACCCCTATAATTTGGATGTTGGAACATTTAAAGATGTCCTGGAGGTCCCTACACTTCTCATTTTTTTGAATTCTTGTTTCTTCATCCTTTTCTGTTTGGTTGTTTCTTTCTTCCTTCTGGTCCACTCCATTGATTTGAGTGCCAGTTTCCTTTCCATCACTATTGGTTCCCTGTGCATTTTCCTTCATTTCACTTAGTGCAGCCTTCATTTTTTCATCTAATTTGCGACCAAAATCAACCAGTTCTGTGAGCATCCTGATCACTAGTGTTTTGAACTGTGCATCTGATAGGTTGGCTGCCTCTTGGTCACTTAAAAGTATTGGCTCTGGGGCTTTGATTTGTTCTTCCATTTGAGCCATGATTTTGTGGTCTGGTCACGCCTGTTTTGTATGGGTGGCGGAGCCTTAGGTGTTCACCAGGGCGGGTCGACTCAGTGGCTGAGCTGTGATGCTGCATGTGGGGGTGGGGTCTGAGAGGGAACAATGGCGCTTGCTCTGCTCTCTCAGATTTCAGTCCCTTCCACCACTTCCCCCAAGCAAACTGGGCCCTTCTGGGGCTGGTTCCTGGGTGGGCGGGTTTGTATACATTCTAGGACCCTGTGGGTCTCTCCATTGAACTCTCCTGTGAGTCTGGGTGCCTCTCCCGGCACCTCAACCCCCACTAGTTTTTTCAATTGGTTTAGTTTTTTTAGGGTTTATTTCCTGGCGCTGGGGCCCTGGGTTGCATGGTCTGCGTCACTGCTTGTTTTTTGCCTGATTTATCTGCATGCGAATGTGTGACCATGGTCAGCCAGCTGCCTTGCACCCTCACTGGGCTGGGTCTGCTCGTCTTCTCCCTGCACCCGGGTTGCCAACCACCACTTTTTCCTGCCGGGACCCCTCTCCACCGGCTGCCGACTCCGCCCCTCTTACCGGTCTGGGTGAATGGATCGTTGTTGGACTTCTGTACCATTCAATTTTCTGTCTGTTCTGGTTGTGTTTTTGTTTCTAAATCTTTGTTGTCCTTAAATTTGGTTGTGCAAGGAGGCACAGTGTTTCCACCTACGCCTCCATCTTGGCCAGACCTGTGGGATGTTTAATTAATCAGCAGGTCCCAACCTTCCCCCAGCTGTCATGCCACAGTCCCTGACCGGAGGGGACACAGAACGTGGCAATACCTTCTTCCAGAGCCTCACAGAAGGTCGACATACAGCAGGAACATTTCAAAACGAAACGAATTGAAACTAATTTTGCTTGAGAATTTTAAGGGGGTGGAACTTTTCAGCGTTCTTTGAGATAAATGGAGCATCTCAGGGTTCCTGAGTGGCCAAAAGCAAAAGGAAAGCCCCAGGGGGGAGGGGGGTTGAGAGGCCCCCCGACCCAGACCCCTCCTCTGCGGGGTCACGTGGACAGACATTCCGGGTCCTGCTGCGGGTGATCTGCTCTCATCACGCCTTCAAGACTCTGCCCCGGGGCCAGATGGAGCAGATCATTTTCCCAAGGGCGGACCTGGCACAAGGCCACGACATTCCACGGAGCCCCTGTGCCACGCCAGAAAGGGGCCCAGCGGCGGTGCACTCAGGCCTCCGAAGGCCGAAGGAGAGATGACGCCCCACGGTGCTCGCCCGGGGTGGTCTCTCGGTCGAGGAAAGCGCCCCTTACCCGGGAGATGGCTTTGTGCTCCTCTGGGTGTTCAGTGCGGGACGGCCGTCTGGCCTTGCTGGCCGGGCACGTGTGGCGTGCTCCCCAATGGGGGGCGGGGGAGCTGGTGCCTCGCTGCCTCCGGGACTGCGGTTCCCGTGGATGGGCGTCCTCAGGGCCACCAGCGAGCTCTCGGGAATGCCAGTACACACGTCACTGTGCCTTTCTTCTTAACGGGAGGAATAGCAGTGCGCCTCAGGTGACAGGAAGCAACACTTTCTTCCTGAGCCTTTGTCGTCCGAGCCAGATGAACCAGCAGGGCCCGGGGTGCCCTGTGCGGATGGACCCGAAGCTTCCCCTCTTAGGTCTGTCTTTTCCTTTCCAAGGACGGCCTGGGTGCAGAAAATCAAAGCTGCTTCGGAACTCTACATAGAGACCGAGAAGAAGAAGCGGGAGAAGGCGTATCTGGGTAACGCGAGGCCGGGCGGGGAGCCACTGGCGGGGCCCAGGAACCCTGGGGCCCAGGGTGGGCCTGGGGGGGTGGGGCCCGGGATGGGGGGCATGGGGGGAGGGAGAGCGGGGTGCAGGGCAAACCCCTGGAGCAAGGGAGTGGTAGATGAAGCGGGCAGGGGTGGGGAGTGTCCGATGCTAACGTGTGTGTTCGGCTTCGCTCTTTCCGCCGCCGCAGCGCGCTCCCAGAGGGCAACTGGGATCGGAAGGCTGATGGTGAACGTGGTCGAAGGCGTGGAGCTGAAGCCCTGCCGGTCCCACGGTGAGGACCCCGGGGGCCCCCTCGAATGTGTGCCTGGCTCTGAATCAAGTAAAAAATGTGCCATTTCTGTCACCCAAGATTTCCTTCCAGAATTGTTTTCTCTAGCACTTGTCGAAAACCTAGAGGTTTTTATTTTTTCCTTAAATCCTTTCCAGCATCTTGCTTTTTGGGGTGGTCCGAGTGGCTGCTATTCCCTGCAGGCGGGACACAAGCCAAGGTGAAGGCGAGGACAGAGGGAAGCCTCGTTTCGAAGCCCCCTCACCCAGTTATCTGCTTTAGTTTAAGGGCGATGCTGAGTTGGGGGGTTTGGCGTGACAGAGGGGGGAACAAAAAGGGGTGTGGAGGGCTGGGCCGTCCGCGGTGCCTGGGATCTGCCCGGAGCCCAGGGGTGCCCATCGTGGGCCCGGGTGGAGCAGGCCCTGCCCCCCCCCCAGGAAAGAGCAACCCCTACTGCGAGGTGACCATGGGGTCCCAGTGCCACATCACCAAGACCATCCAGGACACGCTGAACCCCAAGTGGAACTCCAACTGCCAGTTCTTCATCCGAGACCTGGAGCAGGAGGTTCTCTGCATCACGGTGTTCGAGAGGGACCAGTTCTCGCCGGACGGTGAGTGCGCACGGCGCCGCCGGGCCCGCTTCCCTCCCTGCCGCTGGGCCTCCGCGGTAAACGTCTTCTCCCGGAGACGTGGTGCCCGACCTGCGTGGGCTTCCCCCCGACACATAGATGAGGCAGGAGCAGGACAAGGCTCAGCCTCCCCGAGCAAGACGCTGCCCCTCTGCCGGCGCCTCTCAGAGCAGGCGGCAGAGCTGCCAGTCTGGGGGCGTCCGGCCCCCCTAGACAAACGCCGATGTCCCGTGTGTCCCCCAGGGAGGCCACTGCTCGCCCCAAAGCCCAGCCCGGCCCATTAGTCCTCGGCCCAAACCCACGGTGACGGTGAGTGACAGCAGCCCGTTGAGCCACAAGAGTGGCCGAGTCCGTGGGCGACACCCCGGTGAATCGAGAACACGGAACTGTGTCGAGTGTGTCTCCCCGAAAGCAGGTTTCTGCTTCTGCTCTGAGCCTGGACGAGAATGGGGTCGGCCAGTGATTCTAGGGGCTCTCTCCCTCCCTCCACCCAACACAGCAGAGAGCAGGTTCAGAGATCACATTCACGAGGACAGCGAGGTGCTGGTGGGAGGGTCTGGTGTTAGGGTGGTCTGTGCCGAGCTCCTGTAGCCTGTTCTGCACTTTTACATGAACTCTCCCCAAGCGTTTGTGGCTCCAGGTCCCTGCCTGGCCACAGCTGCCCAGCCGGCTAAGTGCTAGAGCCGGGCCAGGACGCTGGACTCTGCCTCACTCTCAACTGAGGCTACACTGGGTTTCTTTTTAACCTGTGAAGTATCGAGAGGTAACAATTCCCCTGGGGTGTAAGTGGCAAGTCCCCTGCTGTTCTTACATCAGAGATTATTGACAGGAAATGCACCTGGAGGCAGAACCGACTCAGGTCTGCCCACCAGGGACACGTTCTGGGTTTTAAACGGGCACCAGGGAAGGGGGCTGTCTCCTGCCCGGAGTGCCCAGGTCAGAGTGCGTTGCGAGAAATCGCTGTCAGGTGAGCACAGGACAGAATGAATGGTCCGCAGGCCCCGCCACACCGTCCGCACAGGTGCGCGTGGGCGTTTCAACAGTCTCAGACATGCTCGCAGCCCTCCTCCTCCCGGTGCTGGGGGAAAGGGGCCTCAAGATCGTCCTGGGACCTGCGGGAAGCGTGTGGCCCCCCGCTGAGCCCTCCGCGCCGCCCCTCGAGCCTGCCCTGTGGCCCGCTGGGTGGTGCGTAAGAACCAGGCCCAGCTCACCTGCCCCGACTTTCCTGCAAGCGCGGCAACATCAAGGAGCAGGCCCCTGAGACAGGGCCTGGGAGGAAGGAAGGACTGTCTGGCGTCTGTCCCACAGGCGCGGTCTTTCTTCCCAGTGATCTCTTTCGCGAGCACGTACGTTGCTAATTGTGCAGCTCCTGTGCCACCCATCTGACGCGGTGGGCCCCCCGCCCCATGGGGGGGAATCACAGTCTGCATTTTAGCCCCTTCTAGACTCTCCTTTGTGCCACCCAGGCGTCCTTTCCTTTCTGCTCCCTGCGTCACACACCTAATAATCATCCCTGAGTGTGGCGGAGGCCGCAATCCTTACGCGTATCTCTGATTTGTGTTGGGTGGAGGGAGCGAGAGCTCCTAGAATCACAGGCCCGCCGAGTTTCCCCGCAGTGCATGGACTCCCGAACCGGCCTGCCTCCCTCTTTGAGGAAGGGGCTGCAGAACGCACCCTGGGAGCTCCCAGCACCCCGGGCGTGGGCCCGCAGAGAAGCGTGCTCTCCCTGAGCAGGTCTTCTTCTCCTTTCAGATTTCCTGGGTCGGACGGAGATCCGTGTGGCCGACATCAAGAAGGACCAGGGCTCCAAGGGCCCGGTGACCAAGTGTCTCCTGCTGCACGAAGTCCCCACGGGGGAGATTGTGGTCCGCCTGGACCTTCAACTCTTTGACGAGCCCTAGGGAGCGGCCCAGGGCGGGTGCCCGGGGTCCCACTAGGGCTGGTGGGCGTCACCCGGGAATGGCGTTGCCTTTCTGAGACCACGGTCGGGGTCTGAGCCACAGGGTGGCGGACGGTGAAGGAAGGCCCCTAAGGATGCCAGGAGTTTCTCGACAATCCTTTCCCCCAAACAGCCTCCCCTGTGATGAAGCAAAACTGTCTCCCTCTGTCTTCACTGCAGTCTCGTGATGACTTTTAGGGACTTGGACATCGGACAGCTCCCAGCGAGGTTTGCCGGGGAGCCGGGCCATCCCTGCGCCTGAGGCACGGTTCTGGTTACTGTCAAATAATTTATAAACGCAGTGGCTGTATTTTTGGAGAATTCTGTAACCCTCCGATGTCTCACCTCCCCCAGCCCCGTTGGCCCCTCGGCCGAGTCCTTGGTGTGTTCACAGAACATCGTGGTGGTTCTGTCTTTGCTGTCGAATCTCCCGTCCCGCCTCCCGCCCCCGGATTGTATTTGAAATGCCGTCCCGGATCTGATCACAGGGGTGGGGGGGGGGGCACGCGGTCTCCTCTCAGTCCCTGGGCTGCTCACTGCAGAGCTGGTCCAGGGAAGGTTCCAGGCCCTTCGGGGTCTTGTATTGATAGACGTCAATGAAAAGTCCCACTGGCTACGATCGGGTGATTGATTCTGATTCCCAGCAGCCTTGGGAGGGGGCAGGGAAGCCTGCTGCCTGCAGGGTCGTTCTCTGCCAGGGGGCACCCCCAAGGCCCCGGCAGGCCACGCCACGCCACGGGTCCCGGTTGCTGGCCCAGGTGAGAAACTCTCCTTCGGCTCAAGGTCCTGTGACGTGTCCTAACAGTCGTTGCTGGTGCCCAGCTCTGAGCCTCCTCTTGCTCGGACACACCGGGTCCCGACCGTCTTGAGAATTTGGGGGGCTGTCTTCAGCATGTTCCCGAACAGGCACTCCCAAGGCACGGAAAGGAAAGGGGCAATCTGGAAGTGGGGGGGGGTGCAAAGGGAATCCACCGCGTGGTGCGTCCGACCCTGTGCACATGCAGCCCCGGGCCCAGGAGGGAGACCGGAGACCCCCCTGTACGCCGCCACCCTGCCGCCCTCTCAGAAACGGGGTCCCCATGTGCTTGTGGGACCCCCAGGAGCATAGGACTGGGTGTCAGCTGTTTGGTTTCAGTTCTTTGATTTTTTTCCCCCTTAAATGCCAGGAGACAGGCTGGTTCACTAGATAGTAACTTGATTTGCTAGTGGGACACTCTGGTCACATTTGTTCACATGTTACCGTTCTCGGAATCCCAGTTTGTTGAGGTCAGGAGACGTTCTCGGCATGTGCTCCGGCCCCGGGGCCTGGCTTTCCCAGGTCAGGAGGCCCACTCTCCGGTTGCGGGTCCTTGGACTGGAGCTGGGGGTGGTGGGAGTGCGGGGCGAGCGTGTCCCGCGGCAGAGTCTGCGCCTCAAGGGCAGGGCAGGAGGTCGGAAAGGGCGCTGGGGCGGGGGGGGGGGGGGGCCGCGGGCTTTCAAATGTGTGTCGGAAAGGGCAACAAAGTTTACATTGCATACTTAAAAAAAAACACTTTATTATTTATTTATTGAAGCTAGTGGAGAGTTTTGTACCGAGAACAACAGACACAGTATTTTTTGAAACAAGCAGACGTGCCCTTTAGTGAGAAACCCTCCACTCGAACAGAGGCGTGCATTTGTTTACCGCTTCACGGCAGAGGACACTGTGCAAACACTTTCCGTTTACACGTTTGGCGTTGTGAGGAAGCTCTTTTAAATTACATCTGCAACCAGACGTACACCTCGCGCTCTCCGGTGTCTGTAACCAGCACAGCTGGTTCGCTGTGTTTATGAAGGACACGGCCCTCTCTCTGATAGAAAAGAGCTTTCACGTGTCACTGCGGTGGCCCTGGGTCACCATTCCTCCGTCCCTCCTCTTCCCTGACCTGCTTCGCGTGTCGGCTCGAGGTGTTGCCGTCCATGTGGGGGGAACAGGGTGCACGGGGCACATGTCTCGCCGTCCTTGTCCTGTTAGTTGCGTGAGGTCAGTGCCCACAGAGTCCGGTCACCGGCATGAGTTTTGCACGAAAGGTGACGCATCTCGTTCCCCGGGTGACTGCACTGAGCCTCCCGAGACGGCCTGCAGGGCGGCAGTGGTGGGCCGGGGTCCTCCGGGGTGAGCCCGCTGGCCCTCCGCCAGCTGCGACCCGCAGCGCGTGTCGGGGGAGAGAGGGAGGTGGGGAGGCGTGGAGCCTCGCGCTGTCCTGCCGTCCTTCCCTTCTGCCTGGTCGGCTGCCTGGGCAGGGATTCACGGAGGTGAAGTGTCCCTTGCCAGTGAGGGATCTGTCACCTAGATGTCTGCTTTCTCAAGACAGGGCTTCTCCAGTTGTCTGCACCTGTCTAGACAGCCCTGCCCCGCCCCCGGGCTGTGCCACCCTGAGGGCCAGCCCAGGTCCCCAGCCCCCTGGGACGGTGGGGCGGGGGGTGGTTTCTGGTGGACACTGTCTCCTGCCACCCAGGTAGGCGGCGCGTCTCCTGGAGACGGGTCCGTCGGATGCGGGGCGGGCCTGACGCTGGGGGAAGGACGTGCGACAGAGCTGGGCGGGGTTCCTTGTCCACCTGCTTGGACCCCGCGTCCCCATCCGCGTCCCCGTCTGTGTCTCGTGCCCTGACGGTGGAGAAGAGGTCGGTGCCCCCAAAGAGCATTCTCATTCAAAAGGGCATTTTTATTCTTTGCTTTTTGAACAACTAAGTGTCAGAAGTAGGCACTTTGATCACTTGCATTGCATCTTGTCTTGGTGACGCGGTCCCCAAACCTCGGAGCGCTTCTCCGATATTCCTGATATTTCCTGAGCACTCACCAGTGGCTAGGGGCTGTTTTTATTTGGTAGTAGAAATGCGCACTTTTCTCCTTCCAGGCACCTGGTTTTGTACTTTTATCATTAAAAAAAATAACATTCCCATGCCGCTGTTTCTGAAACTGTGCTCCCGGGCATTTCTCCTCTTCCGCCCCACCCCTGTTTTCTCGTTTCTGTGTCTGAACGAACCAGGGCGTTTGGGGAGGGTCTTGATGCAGGGACCAGGGAGACGGGCCAGGAGCCGGCGAGGCCGGCTGCACGGCCGCCACCAGGGGGCGAGCTCCCCCGGGAAGCCCATGGTCCCCACGGCCCATCCCAGGGCAGGTGCTGGCTCCACCTGTGCTGCTCAGCGACATGGCTCTTGCGGGACCCCCGGGACCAGGCGGCTGCTGGTCTGAGGCAGCCCCAGCCGGTGGGGCGGGAGAGGGCTGGGTGCTAGCCTTGAACTCGGCACTCCTGGGGGCACTGGGTGACTCAGCTTTTCCCTGCGGTAGGGGCCGGGGCCCGCCCTGCTGTGGGGGCCTCAGGTATGAGCTGGGGGTGTGGTCTGCTGCTGGGTGGGAGGGCCGGGCTTGGCCCCTGTCCCAGAGAAAGTCCCCTCCACGTGGACTGACCGATCCCGGTTTCTGCTCGGGGACTCCGACTTCCGTAATTTCAGACTGTTGTGGGGGCACAGATGTGAAGGCCCCGTGTGGTTGGTGTGTGTGTGAGTGTGTGTGTGTGTGCGTGGTGTGTATGCATGAGTGTGTGTGCTTGCACGGGCACCCGGAGGGGTGACTGGGTGTCTGTGCTGAGTGGGGAAGCAGGTCAGCCTGGCCCGGCTGTGGCCACGTGTGGGGCCGGCTGTGTGATTGGTGGGCCCAGGGCAATGGAGGCGCTAGATCCCCTGTGTGCAGTCATGAAGAATATCCAGGTGGTGACAGCGGAGACCTGCAGCCGGTGTGGCCCTACTGAGCCCCAGGTGCCCTGAGACTGTGAGGTCGCCCGCCCGTGGGGCCGGCCCTGGTCCCCAGCTGTGTGTGACTCGCTGTGTGTCTGTCTTCAGTCTGTTCTTGGAGCAGGTGGGGCTTCACCGACTGTTTCCGACTCTGAAGTCTTCCGGGCAGGCCGTGGGGAGCTGGGCCGACGGGCTTTTCGAGTTGTCTGCTTGCCTTTCACAAAGGGCCAGACAGCGTGGGCCAGTCAGAGGGTCCGAGACCCAGGCCCCTGGCTGACGGATGTGCCCCTGGCCGGAGAGGGGGCCATCTGTCACCTGGGCTCCCAGTGCAGGGCCCCGCAGGTGCTGGGAGGCCTCTGAGCTCCAGGCATGGGATCCGCTGCTTTGAAGTAGAGCCCTTCCTGTTGGTCTTTGCTCATCCTCCCTCCGGGGATGAGGAAAGGGCTTTCCTCCCCTCTCCTGGCAGGACGGGCAGGCTTTTCCAGCCTCTGCCTTCAAAATGAGTGTCCAGGGGCCAGGGCGGGGGTGTGGGTGGGAGATTCTCAGCGCCGCTTCCCTGGGGGCTGGATGCTGGAGAGAGGCGGAGTGCGGAGCCGGCTACCCCGCCCTGCTGGGCCCCGTGGACCACAGGTGTCTGTGGTACCTGCCCCTGAGACGTCCCAGCTGGGATCCCCCCACGGGGTCCCATCTATGATGTTTGAAGAGAGCGGTGTCAGGAGAGAGGCCAGAACGCACTGTGTGGGGGCTTCGCATTCCAGGAAAATGCAGCTCCGTGGCAGGGGACGGTGGAGCTGGCCCCCCACCCCCCACCGGCTGCCGCCAGAGCTTGTTCTCGCCGCTGGGCCGGACGCCCCGAAACCTTTGCAAGCCCTGTTTGCTCTTTGCAGGTCGGTCTCAGTTCTCCACACACACAGCAATAATCCTTCCTCCCTTTCTCGATTCTGTCTGGGATTACAAAGTTCGTTAAGTAAAAAAGTAGAATGTTGAACAGAAGCTGCAGATTCGTCTCCTGCAGACTCCTGTCACTTTGAACAACTGAGAGCGACCGAGAGCTTTGTTGCTACGTGTAGTGTAATGGCCGCACCAAGTTGCTGAAAGTCCCGAAGCGCTTTCCAGAGGCATCTGAGGAAGACTGCGTCAGCCTTTGCGTCCATGGACGAGCATTTGGTGTGTATTTTTCCAAGCAACACCCTCCGAGTGTCACCCGCTAAATATTCACGGTCAGGATACAGACACACTCACAAGATCTTTGGTGATATTTATTTTTACGCCTGCATTTAAAACATACGTTGCCAATAGCCCAAGTGTCTTAGAACTGTGACACCAGCTGCGGATTTGTCCTCTGAAGCCCTGGCCAGCGGAAGCCTGTGCCTTCCCGGCCCCCTCGTCCCTCCCCCGTCCCAGCCGTGTGTGGACAGAGGAGTGGGCGCTCGTGGGCCTGAGCCGCACGGCCAGCCCTGGTGCGCACACGTTTGCAGGTGAGGAATTCACCGCAGGCGTGGCCTGTGTAGGGTGCTCAGCCCTCCGCTCTGGCTTCCTGCGTGTCATGTCGTGTCCTGCCAAGGACAGCGTGGGATCCCTCCACGCAAAGTGAGAGAGTGGGCGAGCTCTGCACTGTGTTCACGGGGCTGTTGCCCAGGACTGCGTGCGTGTCAGAGGCTGTGCTGACACTGTGGCAAAAGCTAACAGATTCTGTGGTCAAAAATATTTAACTTGTGATCGTAACGCGTGATTTTGCATTGAGAATTTATTTTTCTGTATGTATATGAGAGTATTTTAGGTATCTAATTTAAGTGCAGAAAACTATAGAAAGAATTTAAAACCGCTTCCGGGAGCAGGGAATGCTTCGTCAGTTACCCAGGCCAT